GGGGAGGGGGAGGGAGGGGGAGGAGTAGATGCTGAGAGTTCCACAGAAACAAACGACTTTTTGAGAGGACCACGAGACACACAGGCCCTTTTTCAGGTGCGGTGTTCAGATCTTCCTGATCCCCAGCCCCCAGGACACCTCTCTGGAGCCTGTCACTAAACAGCTATCTTATTTGAACTATACGAGTGAGGTTCCGTTCCGTACAAGCAAAAGAACTTGGTCTAAGACACGGGCATCCAAACTGATTATTGTCAAACACCGGGTGTCTGGAGCATGTCTAGACTTCAGATTACAGCTTCTTAAAATTTCAGGGTCTAAATTCTTTCCTTCCTCGAATGCACATCACAGTGCCCAGGATACGACTGCCCAGACAGAATCCTAATCGCTCACTTGACTCTGACAGCTGTGGGCCCTGTGCTGAGGGCTAACGGGAGTGAGAGGCAGGAGGCGTCTGTGCGGGGCGGCGAGCGCAGGCACGTGGGTCTAGACCTGGGTTTTAGCTCTTGCTGGGGATGTGACCCTTGGCAAAGTTATTAACTTAGACGACCCTCGGTTTTATCTGCAAAGTGAGAACAAATCTACCTCCTCTGGTCACCCTAAAGAATGTGCTCTAAACACAGTACTTTATAAGCTCCAGGCAATAAGGAGCAGTCGTTATGAGCGATGTACTGAGGAGAAGCAGAGCGGTAAAGGGGCACATGGGGAGCAGAGGAGCTGTCAGGACAGAGGGGTGGGGGGTCTCAGGAAGACTCGGAAAGATGGCAGAAGAAAGGGTGAGTCAGCAGGCCAGGTTCCCACCTCCTCCTACTCCCCTGGAAGCAAAGGAATGTTCCCAAACGCAAGGACCTCATGAACTTCCTTCCGGAAGCTTCCTACGGGCCCCCCCAGCGCTGAGGCTGCACCTGAGCCGGCTCTTGTTGCGGGCCACGCGCGTGAGTGTGTAGCGGTTGATGGTGTAGAAGTAGTCGTGGTACGGCACGTCGTGGGTGAGGACCTCGGCGTCTATCACGTAGCACTCACTTTCCTGGCTCGCCTTGTACATGGTCTGTGGGAAGAAAGGCCGCTGGACGCAACTGAGAAGCAAGATGGGAAAAGGACCTCCTTCCCCAGTCTCCCCACCCGACCCCCCACTTCTGAATGGAGGACCTGGAACTGCTGGAATCGGCGGCCTCCAAGCGTGTGAGGTGCTGCCATTTCAGGTAAACACCTGCCCAGAAACTGCCCCTAACACCTGGCTCAGTCCTTGGACAGGACAGGACAGGACAGAGGCGGCTCGGGCTCTCCCACTGCCCCCGTCCTCGCCTCACCTGTGTCTCCCTGACAGTGGCAGTTTTGGGAGCCAGGGGGTTGGTGAGGGTGATGGTGTAAAGAATCAGTCGGCTCTGGTTTCCATTCTCTTCCTTCTTCCATGGATGGAAGATGATATCTGAGGGTAGCGAAGGGCCCTGGAATGAGGGAGGGAGACAGGCATGCCCTCCCCACAGCTGAATTCCCCCCATGCTCCCACCCCCGCCGGGGGAACGTCTCTTCACTGCGCTGAATGCCAACTGGCCTCCAAAAGGAAGTCAGTGGGAGCCTGAGAGCCGGAGGAGGGGGGTGGGAGGAGGGGAGTTGAGGCAGAAAGAGGCTCATTGTGGCACTGCCGAGATTTTACACTGGCCCCAGTATGCTCCTCGTTCCTGGGGCTGGGCAGGAGGTCGCAGGGCCACCCACAGGGGTGCTGGCAACACTGGAGTTACTGTGAGGAGGGCCTGGGATCCTTGGGAACAAGCACTCTCCCCTAAGGCATGACCTCGGTGCCCCCAGCCTGCCCTCTGCTCCTGGCTGCAGGTCCGCTGATGCCCAACCACTCTTCCAGGCTCAGACGCCCAGCAGCTCGGCTGGGCCAGAGTCGCAGCCCCTGCTGAGCTGCAGGACAGGGGCAAAGGGCGAGACAGGAGCACGGAGGTGTAAAGCGTGACCTCTGCGACTCCTAGATTTGAATCCTTAGCTGCATGACCTTGGGCAAGGAACAATGGTGTGAGTTCCAGTTTCCTCGTGGGTACGGTGGGGTCACGATGCTCCCACACAGGGCAGAGCTGAGGGTTAGATGAGGTCATGTAACGTGGTAGCTGCTCCCCTTCACTACACGGTGAGCCCTGTAAGGCCCTGATCTCTGAGCCCCTGGGGCCTGGCACCACACGGGAGAGCCTCGGGCTGCAGCACCGGGGATGGAGCGGTACACAGAGCCCCGAGGGAGCTCTAGCACTAAGGCCAGAGAGAGGTGCTCAGGCTACTGGGTGACCAGGAAAGGAGGGTGCTTGGGAGGAGAGGAAAGAAGGGTGGTAGAGAGGGAAGGACGGGAGGCACCAGGCTGGGGAAAAGCCAACCTGAGAAGCGCCGCTGCTCCATGAAGTCCCGCTGGAAGGGCGAGTCGGTGAACAGGAGGTCATAGAGCTTGTCCACGCTGAAGTTGAAAATCTCATTCACATACTGCCGGCCACTCAGGTCCTCGTAGAAGGCCTGGACCTCCCCTGCACGAAGGGTGAGGAAATGACAGTGAACGGGAGGGGCAGGTGACCCTGGGGAATCCCAGAGCACTTGTCTGGATGCAGCTGTGGGAACGGCCACCAAGGGCGGGGGGAGACCATGGAGTGAGGCAGCTGCCTCCTTCCCTCAGATGTCATTCGACTCATTCAGCTCTGACCAGGCGCTCAGGAAGGTACTGTTTGCTTTGACACTTCAAGCCTCCCAAATTAAGGTGACCTTAGACTGCAATTTAAATAAACGACCACTTCCTGAGCTTGCCTGAGCCCAGAGGATCAGTTATCTGGAGGGCCTTGGGAGCCCCCTCCAGGCCACCGCCCAGGACTGGGCAGGACGAGCAGCATGGGGGGAATGTTTACTTCTCGGTTTACATGAACGGCACCCGTCATTATTCAGGACCTAACCTGTACAGTCCTTGCCTTGCCTTGCCCTGCCCTGCACCCTGGATGGGAGTGAGGAAACCAACCAAAGGTGAGAAAGCCACGGCANTGGCACCCCTGTCATTATTCAGGACCTAACCTGTACAGTCCTTGCCTTGCCTTGCCCTGCCCTGCACCCTGGATGGGAGTGAGGAAACCAACCAAAGGTGAGAAAGCCACGGCAGGCGACCCACAGGAGTGACCGTCCACAGCCTGAGGATGAGCACTGTCTGCATCTACTCACTAAGTCAGAACCCACCGCCCACTCCATGGAGGCGAACCATCAGCCAAATTCATCAGCACTGAGCATTCGGCTTCTCGCCCTGGAGTGCAAGAAGCAACATGTTCCCAAGCGAGGGCCCAGAAGCTGGCCCTCTGCAGGAGGAAAGTAAGAAGCTATCCTCTAAGAAATACTAGAGAAGGGCAGTGTCCAGAGCCTGCCTGACCTCTTTTCTAGCCGGGTCTCAAGCCCCATGCTGGAGTCACTAAAGCAAGTTTCGACTGCAGCCTACTCATTTGTAGGTGCAGCTGGCTGACGGGCACTTTCCTGGTGGCACGCAGATGCTGCCATGCCTGGCACCTCTCTGAGGGACAGAGCTGCAAGGCCAGCAGTGTCAACAGGGGTAAACTTAGTGACAAGACTGGGGAGCAGGACAAGGCATTTATCTGTTGAGCAAAAAAGGGCAAACACGAGATGATGAGGTTCACGCAAGCAAGCACCTGAAAAAGAGACCTAAGCTAACAACGAATGTACGCTTTTTTGAAGAAAAGCTCTGCTACCACCCAGCCTTCCACCGGGAGCCTAAAGACTGACTCTAGTCTCCATGTGGGGACATCCTTTAAGCCTCAAGACAGAGAGAGGAAGGGCCGCTCTGCACCCATTCTCAAATGCACCTTCATCGTGGGTGTCAGAGGAGTCGCTGAGCTCGGTGGGGATGTCCTCATTGTCGTTGAAGTCCAGCGAGGGGGAGTTCACAGGCGCGAGGATCTCCATCTTCTCTCCCATGATACTGTCGATAGCAAGCGCCTTCTCTAGGGCCCCGTCACCCTCCAGCCCCTCCTCCTCCAAGGGCAGGCCGTCAAACTGGGTGGAGACAGAGAAGTCCCGCTGCAGTCAGGGCCCTGGCCTGGGAGCCCTCACGCTCACAGCAGGAGCTGATTTCCCCGAGAACAGTACAGGGTTCTGCCCTCCTCTTGCCGTCCCGTAGCACAGCGACCCCAAGGACGGCAGCGTTAGTTCCCCGGCCACAGGTCTGCTCCCGGGCCGCACCTCCACTGTGGTATAACAACGCCAGCCTGCCTCCCGCTAGGACCTGGTTTTCTAAGAGGCTCAAAGGCTTCATAAGCATTTTTTATTCATTTTCCCATTAGCGCTGGAAGGGAACAGATACAAGCCTTTATATTTTAAAATAACCCCGAGGCTGGAAACGGAGCCTTGGCATGAAATGGTGTCCTTGTTCCAAGGCCAGGTAGGAGGACCCCTGAGCCACTGCAGTGCAGGGCTCCCATTCCTGGGGGTCCTTTCTGAGGAAGCCCATCCCGCCCCCTACCTGCCAGCTCACCCCCGGCACTCTTCCTTCACCCAGCTTCCGTTTCCTCTGTGACCCGTCCCAGAGGACAGAGGTCCTTCTTATACATTTTATCTTTCACAAAGTCTGGCACAGTGGGAAAATACATCAGAGTGTGTAGAGTAGGGACTCAAACTATTATTTATTGAATAGGTGATTAAACAGTTCTAGTATCACGCTCATGGACAACTTTGCCTTAGGTCCAGGCTGTGAAACCCGGACCTGGCACAGCTCTCCAAGGGCTGAGCAGAGCCGTGAGCATGAGCAGAGCTCACAGTGAACCTGAGTGGTTTTCACCTGCTCAGCAGCCAGACAAAATCCTAACCCGCGACATGGAGAGCCCAGCGCAGGTCCTGGGACTGCAGTTACTGCGAGCCAGGCAGCCCCCTGCTCCGGTGTCTCCTTCACAAAGCTGACTGCAATGCGCCACCTCCCCGCCGCCCACTCCCAGGTGCGGGGCCCACAGGGTCAGCCAGGCGAGGACGCGCTGGCCGGACGAGGGCTCACCGCCATACCGAGACAGGGGCTTCGCTGCTCCCGGTGGACGTCAGCGTGCTGTTGGTGACGGACTTCTTGGGCAGCTGCGGGCTGGCGTCTGCCTTGGTCTCTATGCTGCTTTTGGACGAGCTGTCATTCACTTCATTCTCTTCTACGGGGATTTCCTCACAGTAGCTACAACAAGACACCATACGCCACGCTGACCTCAGGGGACAAAACTGTTCTAGGACCCTCAGACCTACCTATCTGCCCAAAACTGCGGCTTTCCTGCGTCCCTGCTTTGCATCTGAGCCCCCTCTAACTACCCTACTCCCAAAACCTCTCCTAAAACCACACCTCCAACCCCCAAGTAAAATTTCTGGCTCCAAACTCACCTTTTCTAGGCACCCTCCTTAGATATATTCCTAGTAAAGTAGGACCATTATTTGTCTTAAACTGTTTTTCCCACCCCAGCCCGACCATTTGCATCAGACACCTGGACTCTGACCACACACTGTCCTCCCCACACAGTGACAAGGACAGACTCGGACATGAGTGTCCTTTGGGGGTGTTGTCCAGATTCCAGATCAAAGCTGGTCAACTTCTGGGCATTGTACACCTAAGGCAGGGGTGGGGAACCTTTTTTCTGCCAACGGCCATTTGTATAGTTCTAACATTATTCACGGGCCACACAAAATTATCAACTTAAAAATTAGCTATGAAAAAAGCTCCTAGATATACTGAATTTTGAGTCCCGCCTGCGGTTGCCTTGGCGGGGCCAGACCAAATGATTTTGACCTGTGGGTCCGACGTTCCCCATCCCTGACTAAGGGGAAACCCTCCTTGAGCTAAAGGTGGGTGCCCTTCCAGGGATGCCTCAGACATGCCACTGCAGCCTCTAACAAGGGAGAAATCATCACCATCATCAATGCCTGACTTATACTTTATACTGACCTCACCTGGAACACACTGAGTAAGGCATTACATGCATTTTAGAGATAATCAAGTAGACATCCCAGAAGTTAAGTGAGAGCACTACTCGGAGCCAGTTCCTGCGTGAGCCCAAGCCTGCGTAGCCCACATCGGATGCTCTTTCGCAGCATCCAACTCCTCTGTGCCTCTCACACTGCCACCGAGCCTCCACCTACCTCCAAACCTCAAGCATGCTTGTATCACTCTGCAGTCCCATCTTTCTTAACTACCAAGGCACGTGATACAGTGAGCCACCCTTCTCCTTCAAATGTCCTTCCCTTAGCTCCCCGGACACAAAGCTCGCAGCGTCCTCCCCGCTCACTGAGCATCCTCTCGGGATTTGACTCTTTTGCCACTTCTGCCTCTTGCTGAGTATCCTCAGGCCCAGATCCTGAGCTTCCTACGTCCATCTAGTCACCTGGGCATTCCAGCCAAATTCACGGCAGGGGCTGTCCACTAAAACACCACATGTGTCCCCAGCCCAGACTCCCTAGAGAATGCCACAGACAGATGCCATGTGACATCTCGTTCCGACCGAATGACAGTCATCTCAAAGTCAGGTTGTCTAGAACCAAGCTCCTGTTCTTCCCCCTGAATTTGCGCTGTGATACTAGTGTCCACCTCAGTGTGGAACAACTCTATCCTTTCAGTTGGTAAATCCAAGAAAAACTTAACCACCTTGGGCTTCTTCTGGATGCATCAGCAAATCATTCAATATACTTCTGGTTCTACCATCAAAATATATTCAGAAACTGACCACTCATTTCCACTTCTACTGTTACCCTCCTGGTCCAAACCACCATCACCTCTCATCTAAATGATCTAAATTATTCAATAGCCTCTTAGGCAGTCTGCTCTTACTCCCCTTCCGTCCATTTTCAACCCAGGAGGCCGAGTGATCCTGTTAAAATGTTAAGTCAGACAGTATCAATTATCTACTCAAAGCCGTTTCACAGCTCCTCCCTCGGCTCCGGGTAAAGCCAATCATCACGTTGGCCGAAGGCCTCATGCTCTGCCTCCTGACCTCCCTGACCTCGCCTCTTCCCATTTGCCCTTTTCCAGTCCGCCCAGCTGCCATCACTGTTCCCTCTGCCTGGGAGGCCTTCCTGAAGGTGACCTCTGGCTTACTCCTTCACTTCCTTCAGGGTATACTTGGGTGTCATTCCCCAGTGTGGCTTCATGCCATCCTCGCCCCTCTCCAAAAGGCTCCCTGGCAGCCTCCTCTGCCTCTCACCCCATCGTGTTGAAGTCGTCGTCGGGGGGCACGTAGTCCTCGTCGTCACTGGTCAGGCCCAGCTCGTTCCCGTAGCACTGGTGAACGAAGTGCCAGAGCTCCTTGGGACACAGTGGCTGCAGGAACAACAGAGACTGACGCTTCCTTCCTCAGTACGCCTCTGCACAGAGGCACTGTTAGCTGGTCTCCCCTGAGGGTAGAACAGCCAAACTCCACTCCCCCTAGCAGAACAGAGGGAGCAATGCCTCCATGGTGACCTCGGCCACCTCACTTGCCCTCCTCTCAGGATCTCAACAAGGCACCAATCTTCTGTGCAAGAATACGTCTTTTATCAAAGCCAGGAACCTGGCCTGTTCACACAACTCAGGTTTCCATATGGGACCAACTGGCCCCTTGTCCACTTTCTGCTCCTGAGGATGAGGTCCAGCATTAAGCAGCATGATCTGATGTCACTGTGGGCCAAAGCGATCACAGGGCTTCTGGTTTGGAACATGGAATGAGCAGCAGAGATCCTCTGAGCCACTTTCACTGGGGCTGCAGAAAACTCCTTACGCTAACAGTGACCAAGCAAACCCTGCAGGACGCCATCCAGGAATGAGGCACGACCTCAAAGGTGGCCCACTGCCCAGCTGCCAGTTCCTGTGCTTAGAAAGAAGTCCTCCTTCTCAAAGATTAAGGGGCCCCAAAGGTCAGTGCATCTAAACTTCTCCTGACCACCTGAATGCTTCCTTCTTTATTCTTACGTAGATCAGTTTGCCTACAGCTCTATGCATCAGTTCTAGTTTTCCTTATTTCACTGGGTGTCCTCATTTCCTCCTCAAAAGCACTGTCCTAAGAAAAGTTAGCTCTCATGAAGTTCAAAGACTTGGGAAAGAGGCAACAGATTTTACAAAGAACTGAGATCAGAGGTAGAGGCCATGAACACGTCTCGGGTTGGGAGGAGGGGGAGAAGGTGGGAGGATAAGTACATGAAAAACAGAAGCAGTCAATGCCATCAAAAATAATTCAAATTATTGAATAATTATTCAATTACTCAAACTAGCCAACCCTAAGTCTGCTTGGCCTGCCTGCTCTGCCTCACCTGTTCCTTCTTGGGAAAACCAAAGGCCCCTGCCATGCTCTCTTTGCCTCCTGACTGACCCTGATGCTTCCCCACGTGGCCCTGCATGGCCCTGCATGATGTGACGTGCCTCTGCCTCCAGAGGTTAATAAAAGGCTGTTTTCCACCAACAGATGTGATAGAGAACCTGAGTCCTCTCCAAGTCCATCCTTCAAGGTTTAGTTTAAGAAGCAGAAGCCATCAGGATGCCGTGAGCCAGGTTCCAGTTTTCCAATGAAGGAGACCTGCCCAGGATACCATAGGCAGGGCTCCCCTAAGCTGGCAGGGCTGGGGTGGCAGTTCTGTGCTGGCCCTCACAGTGCCAGAGGAAGGCACTTCTCTTATCTGGACCTCCTCCTCGCTCTGGCCTTATGTCTACCATTAATCCTGCCTGGGCCACACTTGTACCTCTGCCCCTTCTGAACAATTTCCCTCCTTCATGCAGCCTTCCCAGACCAGTTCCACATGCTCAGCTTGTCTGCCATCGCCAGGACAAGCCCAGTTAGCAGGTCCTGTTCATGAGGCAGGACTCTTAGTCACTTTGCTAGAACTTTAGTGAACCATATGGACGACTCTGTCTTACTCAGAAATGACAGTAATTGTGAACTGAAAATTCAGACCTGCCAGTGGAGACTCAAATACATTATCGCTTTACCATTACTGACGGCTAATGAAGGCGGAAGATCTCAGACCAAACAGGCTACCAGGACATACCAGGGCTGTATGGACTTTCGGGTTGGAACAAACTCTACATAATAAATCTACTCAATTTCCTTTTGATAGCAATAAATTTGGGCTAGAGTCAAAGTAGATACACTCATATTTAAACATGTCATAGATAATATGATTATAACCATATTATGTAATTTTCCCCCCATGTCCCTTTCCTGGCTTGGAGGCTGTCTCTCAGCACCTCACGGTACATCCTAATGGGAGTTCTCGAAGGGCTGCCACCTTGACATCTTCACCTACATGTCCACAATGTCCTTCAAACACTCGAGTAGTCAGCTGTATTAACTATTTTTCTGGCATCTGAGGCCTTGCTGAATGGGGCGCACTTGCCCCTCCCAGGGTCAGCTAATTCCCAGACATAGAAAACTCACCTAAGAGCACACCTTTCACGTGTAACCAGCCAATCCAAAGCTCATACCCCAATACCTTCTTTATCTAGCTCTTAGGGTGCACACCAATATTCCCCCGCCTTCATTACCTAGGGACAGGTACCAGGCAACTGGAGACAATCTCTATACCCCAAAGCCACACTCAGTTGTTCAAACTAGCCAATCCTGTCTGCTTGGCCTGCCTGCCCTGCCTCACCCGCTCCTTCCGGGGAAAACCACAAAGGCCCTGCCCGTGCTTCCCCGTGCTCTTTGCCTCCTGACTGCCCCCGGTGTTTCCCCACGTGGCCCTGCGTGGCGTGCCTCTGCTTTCAGAGGCATATCTGTAAGTATAAAAACTTACAGGGAGTCTGTGTCTCATCATACATGACATGAACAAATCCTGGACCATTTAAAACAGTGGGCTGCAGTTAGTGAGGGCCCTGGCTGAGCAGCAGGCCATCCACAGGAGAGAGAGGCTACTTCCAGGACTCAGGCCAGCACTGCCATGAGAGCCCACAAGAGTCCAGAGGACTTCCAGGATCACGAGGAAATGAGGGCTTCCGTGGACCTGGCCAAAGCCCCAGTAAAGAGCAGCCTTTCCACAGGGTCCATGCCCAAGGAGAAAGAACATTCTAGCTGGACCTGCATCATTCTCAGGCTGAAGGAAGGGGCTGGGCAGGACTTACCTTTTCAAGGAGCGCATTCTGCCACAGCCGGAACATCATCATGTACGTCCTATCCCGGGCCCCAAACGAAGTAAAAAAGTGCTAGATTGTAAGAGAAAATGGAAAAAGTGTCAGTTAAGACTTATAACATAATGAAGACCTGCTGCTCTTTCCTTTGAAAACAAGCTACTGACTTTAGCCTCAAATGTGATGACTCTCAGCCCCCGTGATCCCGGCACAGGTGCTCGAGAGATGAGGAGCACAGAGGTACCTGGGCCCTCCAGCCCCCCTGTAATCCAGTCCTGCCACGGCCACGGCCACGGCCACAGCCACACACTTCCCTCGGGGCTCCCTTGTCCTGTCTGAAGCTTTCATCTCCATGAAAACCTTGCTTCACTCACCTACTGGAACTGGGTGAGTGGGAGCTGTGAACTAGCCTAAGGGAAGGAAGACAAGTCCCTCACCCACTAGCCTAAAGGGTTTTCATTCAATTCAACCAGTAGTCCAGTATGAGCATGTGCCAGGCTCCATTCACAGGCTTGGGGTAAAACAGCAAACACAATGGAAGGAGATCCCTTCTCTCAGGAGCTTGCTCATTCGAGGGGACCCTTTATAACACGCAGGAAGCAAGACAAAAACCAGATGTGACTGAAGATGTTCTGGGTGCTTCACAAACACTGCTTTATTTACACCATACGAAAGCCTCAGAAAATAAACAGAGGTGCTAATACCTAATAAAGAGGAATAGGCTGGGAAGCTGGGTGACTCCTGTAATCACAAAGCTGACCTGTGCCAAAAACAGAATTCACACCAAAGACTATCTGAGCCCAAAGTTCTTGGCGGCCCGAGTGCAAGGGCACCGTGAACTGCGTGGGGCAGAAACCTGATCCGCCCCAAGGCCTGAAGGCATCATAGCATTTTCTCTGCCCTAAATTTTACCTTCCACATTTTCCCCAAGCCCATAGGAACAATTCATTTCCTCCCAGACTCGCATCTCTCTGGATGAGCTACGCTGATACACAATGATAACAACCACATTTGTATTATGCCTTATAGTTCAGTGTTTTCAAATGTGTGATGTCATTTCAAGACTATTAAATAGGTCTTGCCGGCTCCATGTTACACACGAGAAACTTGAGGCAGAGAGGTTACATATGTGCCTACAGTCACAGGACTCGGATGCAGGTTTCTGGCCCCAAGTCCATGTTCTGGCACTCCTTCCTCAGCCCTGCCCTTCCCAGAGGTGGTTCTGCAACCTGGATGGCTTCCCCATCTCCCAATCCTACCACCTCCACATTAATGCTACTGAAGAGCAGAAATACAGAAGTTGGGGGGCTGGGGCTCAGGGGAGGGGGAGTAAAGTCCAAGATTAGAATCCACTTACCTTTTCTGAATCAGTGCAAACTTGGATGGCATTGGGAATGAGGCGAGCTGTTTTTTCTTTAGTCATGGAGCAGATGTCTTTTAAACGGACAGTCAGCTGGCATTCCCATAGGGACAGAGATAGGATAAAAGCAAGAAGAAGCATTAATGCAGCCAAAGGGGTCCACATGGCACCAGTTCAGACAGAAGAAATCGGATCTGCCTACATATCTCTAAACCTCCTAAGACCTCATCTGGGTTAGTCCCTAATTTCACAGAGGCCCCACAGTGAGGTGGTGGCCAAGCCTTGCCCAGAGCCCACAGGTGTCTTGGCTCTTGATCCAGGAGCTTCCTGTCTCGTTTTCACAGTCTGATAAAAGTGCAGAGGTCCCTTCACTATGCCACTTACAGAAACATGTAGCAGTAGCACTGGAGGGGACATAACAGTCACCTCGTTCACCTTTCCCCTTTGCTTTACAAGCTGAGGAAAGAGAGGCCAAGGAAGAATAAAGGACTGGCCTAAAATCACACAGCTAATTAGGAGCAGAATCCAAAAAGTGCACAAGCTAGTTCTTCTGGGTCCCACGGCCAATGCCCTTTTTACTCCACTATACTGCCTTCTGCAGTGACTCTTGCCAAATATTTGCTTTTAGCAAATGCTTTCGGCACTTCTTTTCCACACCCAAGAGGGTGGGAGGGGCACACAAAGTACAGGAGATCCAGCCTTCAAGGCTCAGGCACCTGCTTTTGTTAATTACGTGAAGCCTGGATAGAGCATAAAGTCCACAAAGGGAAGGAAGGCGGCAGCTGGCTGAGCCACAGCCAAGGGGACAGCCCCAGGGAGCACGCCCAGGTCTTTACCAGAGTTTCCCAGCGGAAGATGTTGCTGTAGAAGCAGATCCAGTTTTCAGAGAGGTAGAGTCGGCCCTGAAGGAGAATGTCTCTTTGGAGTGCACACGAGTAATCTGTGTTGGGACGAGGGACAGGAGCTTAGAGACAGCATTTTCCACCAGCTGCTCCCACACAGGCGTGCCATCCCTCCCACCAGCAGAGCCCAGTGCCTACCACTGACTGGGCAAATCTGAACTAGTGGCCAAGGGAGCCCTTAGCATCTCACCATCAGGAAAATGAAGGATGTGAAATACACTAGTGCCCACAGGCACAGGAATGGCTGAGATGATAGAGGGGAACACAAAGGTGGAGGCAGAAAGGCCTATAACATCATCAAAGGCCCCTCTCCAACCCACGATTCTCCCACCCCTTCAGTGCTGAACCATCTGCAGAGCTAAGGGTGGGAGTGACTCTTTCCAGGCTGGGCTCTCTCTTGAAGCCGCCATACACGAGGTGCTCAGCCCTGGGCCCCAACCGTGGGGGTCAGCGCTCTGGACACCCTCTCTCTCTGTTCCCAGACAGACTTTCTTACTGGAATTGGCTCCTACTTGGGGAATCTCTAGACAGAAGAAGCCTGAGTGATATCCTAGATCCCCAGACTTCCTTCCTGGCCCCCCTCACCCAGCACCCCACTCACCAACAATGAGGCGCTCCGTGTCTGGAAGTTGCTTAAAGAGCTTTCTGAAGTCTTCGTTTCTCTGCTTGTAAGTGGGGCTTAACACCTGCGTGACAATGGCCATGGTTAGAGATGTTCCCAGATTCTGTGGGTTGGGGAGGAAGGTGCAGGAGGAGCACCTGCCTGCGTATTTAAAAGGCAAAGATGAGGCCATTACCCTACAGACCCTAGGAAGCCAGGGCGGCAAAGGGGGCAAGGCATGGGAAAATCATTGTGGAGAGAATTCGATGCTGTGAAAGGCTTTGTATCCAGTGTCTGTCAAGGAGAAAAATTACTCCTGAGCAGGGTCCACACTACAGCCCAAGAAGATGCAGGGTGAGGGTCGACCTCCAGGGAGCTCCCTGGGACCCACCACATCAGGTATTGCTGTTCAGCCTTCAGCCAGCAGGAGCACTATCTACCTTGATAATGAAGCCAGAGCCCAAGGGCCCCCCGTTCCCCAACAGGGCTCAGAATAGGAGCCCATCACACTCCTCAGGACAAGTTATCATGACTGACAGCAGGCACTTGCTGGGTGTGACATTCATGACTGGAAAAAACGTCATGAAACACAAGACTAGCATGATGTTATATGTCAGTTATCTCTCTCAGGGAATCTCATTTTTACAAAGACTATTAACAAACCAACCCACAAAATCAGTAACTAAATAAGCACACAGTAGAGAACTTGAAAGTAATTAGAAGCAATTAGAGACACCTGAACTCATTCCCTCACTATCCTTTACAAGATTATCAAAGCCAACACTTATATTATCAGTGAGGAAACTGAGGCGAGAGAGAAGCCTCCCCCTGCGCACGGCCCCCGGGCTGGTCAGTGGCAGATCTGATTCCTGGTCCAGTGCTCACCTCCTGCCACCACCTGTGTGTCTGGACGCCCCTGTGCCCACTTAGCTTTTCAGGTACCTCAGTGCAGACTCATGCCCAAAAACTGCCTTGGGAATACCAGGAGCCAGTTGAATACACAAAAGTCCTGCTTTTTCCAAGCTCACAATCTTACAAAAAAGAAAGAAAAAAAAAAAACATGCCCTGTGGATGAACAGCACCAACGATGATACATAAAGTGCACGATGCAGGCAAAGCCTTACATCGCAACAGAGATGACTGCACTCCACCCAGGCCCGCTGATGACCTACTTATGCCAGGAGCACATGCACACACGGACTGTTCTGGTGCCAGTGACAGACGGGTCTTGGCCATTTACACTTTCTCACCACTTTCCTAGGACTCCACCAGCACACAGCTGTTGCGACAAAGGCATGAGCGTTGGACCTTTCAACTTTAGTCTTTGTGCAAAGCTGGACGGCCCACAGGAAGCTGGGGCTGTGGCCTGACCACATTTGTATTGCTCACTGACTGCCTGCACCCGTGGCCTTGTGGCTCTCGTGCTGGCGGGAACAGGAGTGCTCCAGGGAATTAGAGGGAGAGAAGGGATGGCGACTTCAGTGCAGAGAGGTTTTCCAGAAAAGAGGGAAGAGAAAGTTTTCAACTGCTTGTCTAGTTAATCTGAATTTTAAACTTTTGTTTGGCTTGCTTATAAAATGAGTTGTACTTGCAATAGTGGACATCCTGCCCCCGGCAAAGCAATGCTATGTTGTAGAATCCAAACTTCAAAAGCCACCGGCCATGCTTGAACCAAGTATAGGGGCGACTGGGAGTGACTATCTGGCAGCCAGCCAATCCCACGACTTCCATGGGTAGAAAAGACCTCAGAACACAGCGTGCCTCCAGCCCAACCATCACGTCCAGACTGATCCTGAGGTGTCCAAGCCAAAGAGCCCCTCAGTCTCACAGAACGGAATCCACACACTGGAAACCCTTGACTATCTCTGAGCTCCTAATGATGCCTATGTGACCTCTAGAGCTACAATTAAGCTAACACGGAATGTTATCACCACACGCCAGGCTCTGTCCCAGGCCCTTCACCTGCAGCATTTCATCTGACCAGAGTTTTTATCGCATTTTACACGAGTGAGTTGAGGCACTGGAGAATGCGGTGACTAAGCAGAGCGTGGACTATGAATTGAGGAGGCCTGACCCAGCCCTGGTCTGAGCACCAGCCCCCTGGCCTCAGGTCACTGTGCCAGAGTGAAACCACAGAGGTGCCCATCAGAACACACTCCTTGGGAATGAGATGCTCACCTACTTTGAGCTGCCCACTAGCCTTCCATGCCCACAGGCGGGTCTTTTTATAGGGGATGGGAGATTATCTAATCCAATCCTATGTTGCCGGTGGGGAAAGCTAAGGCCCTGACTGGCCTCCTGTTCTCTCCTACAGAGCTGTGCCCAGCACGAAACTGAGAGGGTGTCGCGGGCAGGGTTCTGGGACAGGCCAGTCCCCGGGACCGCGTTCTGCTTCACCCGCTCAGCTCCCGTAGTGTGGGAGGTCTTCTTGCTAAGGGTGACCCAGAGGAGGTGTGGCTTTGCAAGATGCAAAAGCTCTGGAAACTGATCGTACAACAATGTGAATGTTCTTAACACTAATGAACTGTATATTTAGAAGTACATACGATGGTCAATCTTATGTTACTGTATTTTACCACAGTTCCAACATCAACCTGAGGATGAGCCTCCCAGGTGGCCCCCAACCCCTCCAGGTAAAACTGGACTCAGGCATCCCGCAGCCTGGCCAGCCTCCTATTTCTGACTTTCTTTCCATATTGTCCTCTCGCCCTCGCATCTCTCATGTCCAATGGGAACTCAGGCATGTGGAGGCCAGGGGGTCTGGCCATAATCTCCACACCGCTCCTCTCCTCTCCTTGGAACAAAGCTGTGACAAAGGGAGGGGAAGTCCAGCCCTGCCCTCTGAAGTCAGCCCATTCTACAAGGACTGGCTTGGACACAGGAACTCCTTAACCCAGGCTTGCGAATAAATGCCTGATTCTACCAGGCTGCCGGTGCAGATGGTGGGCCAGCCTGCCTCCTAGAGTCTCAAGTGCAGAGGCACAGTGGATCGGCTGCCACCACACACCCTTTGACACAAGACCATGACCCTTTCCCTCCAGCCCCATGCTCTGAGAGCAACGTCCTCCAAAGGCAAGGCTCACCTATTTTAATAACAAATTTTGGTTCAAGGGTTGTCAAATCTGGAGCCCTCAGGGAGCAGGGCTGAGTGGGGAGTGACGGGGGCAGCGGGATTGTCACACAGGCATAGAGAATGAGGCTGCACACTCACGGCCGGGACGTCCTCAGATCCGTGCCAGCAGCAGAGCTCCGCATCAGCAGGTACCTCTGCAACCCTCTTCAGGTACCACTGCAAAGGCTGGCTGTCCTGCTCCAGCAAGAGGCTCCAAAGGATCCCAGATTCCGTCAAAGATTCCATTGCTCCCCAAGGCTGCACCTCTCAATGGAGCCCAGCAACTTGAGCTCTGAGTCCCTACTGTCCCCACAGGATGAAAACAGTCGGGCTCGCTGGGGCTGAACGCAGGTGAGTGACCTTTGGCTTCTAGGCAGAGGGTCTACGTGTCCCTGACTGGCCTCCTTTTTTCTCCTAGAGCTCTGTTCCAGCACAAAGCTTCACAGTGGGAGGGTGTGGTCAACACGGTTCTTGGGACAGTCTGGCTGGCCTGTCTCCCATGGCCGGGTTCTGCTTCACCGGCTCAGCTCCCAGTGTGTCTGGTTTCCGAGCTAAGGGTGACCAGGAGGGATGTAGTGGCTCCCTCCTCCTGGTCCGTGCGGGCAGCCACTCCAAGATGCCAGCCGAGGCCAGCGGAGGCAGTCGAGACGGCAGGTGCACAGAGCTAGCTGAGGTCTCGGAACAGGCCCCCGGTAGACAGGCACACTGCACAGGAAGAGCACGACCCCGCAGCTAAGTCCCGAGGTCCACCCCACTGTTACTCACAGACAGCGGTGGCTCAGGGTTGGTCTGAAACTCCAGGGAGAGAACTAACACCCAGCTCTCCAGCTCCTTCTGCCCTGTCCCACAGCACAGCCCATTCACTGTGCAATCTCGCCTCTGGGCGGACAGTGTGACTCATGGCCCTCGCCCAGGCAGAGCAGCCACCAATGGCTGTGCCAACAGAGCCTGCTCTCACCCCCACCCCACACACACCCCTTTTCTCCCAGACCATATTCCTCTTGGCTGACCAGCAAACAGCTTCTTTGTTAGACTGGCTGGTGGCAGGAGGGAGGAAAGGAGGGAGGGAGGCAGGACGGGTGGGCGGGCAGGGCCAGAGCCCTACACATGCTTCAAGTTACAGGATCTGGTGATGGACTGGCCAGCGTCCTCCAGTAACCCCCAACTGGCCTGGCCTCCCAGCAGATGTTTCCTGCAATGGAAAGTAGCTGGCCAGGGTGCCAAGTGGGGGAGGGGTGAGAGGTGCCAGGGGCACTGCTGTTATGATGAAATCTGAAATTTGAGGCTCAAACAGCCAGGGACTTCTTAGAGACAACTCTTCCCTCACTGATCCATCCATTTACTAAATTCCCTATAGCAGCAGCAACAAGAGATTTGGAAGTTTAACTCATTGCATTGCAGACATTGGACAGATGGCCTGGGGAAGTCGAGGTCAGCAGCTCTGGGGGCTGAGGCATCTCCTTCCTTTCCAGGGAGCCTGCCCTGCCTCCAGCACTAGCAGGAGGGGGACCAAGGCCAAGAGAATTCCCAGGCAGCCCAGACTTTAAGGGCCAAGTAGCAATACTAAGAACAGAGAGTCTGGCCCAGGTCAAGAGGAGACGGCCCAGTGCAGGGAAGCTGAGATCTCCCGGAAAAGAATGGGAGCCAGGCCAACGAGGGCACAAGGATCTGCAGAAAGAAGCTGGGGCAGGAATCGGACAGCACTAGCGCTGGGAAGGCTGATTCCAGGAGAGGCCAGACCTGGAGACTAATGGGCCCTCCCTTGCCCTCCCCAGCTTTGCCTACTTGCCAGGAGGGCCTCGGCCTGCACAGGACGAGTGGTGCCCTTGCCCTGGAAGTCTCCTGATTTGGTGAACAGCACTCAGACGGCAGTGCTGAACAATGACCTAACGCGTTGAAAGTGTGGGTTCTCGACCCCAAACCCGAAGATCCTGATCAGAGGAACCCGAGGTCTCCCAGTTAAATGGTGTTGG